GGGGAGCATAGTCGCCTTGGAGAATGTTCGGTTAATCCCGAAGGCAGGAAGAATTTGATATCTATTGGGGTGCTTGACTCTATGGGCTACAGAACCCAAGTGCACGACGGAGTCATCACGGTATACCATGGTAGGAATTTCGTCCTAATTGGAAAGAAGTGTGGAAATAGCTTGTATTGGGTGTAGAACTGATGTTCAAGATAAAGTCATGTCTTCAAGAGGGTGTATGGCCACGAGAAAGAGGAGTTGGCGATGAACTTGTGTTCCAATGGGGAGCCAAAACGGGAGTTCAACTCATGGTGGAGACAAAGGCTACAACAAGTCAATAGGCGAGCTTGGAGTGTGCAGCAATGGAGGTTAGTGTCTAGTAATAAAAAGGTTTGACATCAATGAGCGAGTGAGGACCATGTCGGCGCCCTTTAGGAGAGGGGCTTAAATGTGATTTCTTAAAGATATTCATTCTCTATAACTTTACAAGTTTACATTGGAAGGTTACAAGGAAAGATCAACGTTTCTGAAGGTGACTTCATACAAGGTCTAGATCGTTGTGAATAGTCTTGTATTTCAACCCTAAGAAGACAACAAAAGAAGATAAAAGGAGGTCTGAACAGCGATAAAACGGTGGAAAAGGGCTGCAATTAGTTCTGGACCGCACCTAGCATCGCCGAGTGGCGAGCCAAAGCCACAACTACCAACAGTCACCGATGGCGGTCACGGGATAGAAAGGTGACCACCAACAATCACCATTGGTCATTCGCAGGCCGAACTAGGTAAACTCCAGTTTTGGTCGGTTTTAGACTAGTTTTCTTAGGCATTCCTTTGTATCCAAGATTCTACCCTATAAATAGGGTTTTTCCTAAGGTTTAGGGTTTATAGGAAGCCAAAGAGAGTTGTATATTGCAAGAGAAAGTAGAGAGAACAAAGGAGAGAAATCTAGGGTTTGTGAGAGATCTTTTGGTGGGATTGAGAGTGTTAATTGTGGGTTATTCATTAAGAACGCAAGAGTAGATAATCTTGTAATTCTATAGTAAAAAAAAGAATTCTCTCTCTCTCTCTCCGTGGATGTAGGCGATTGCTAACCATGTAAATCACGTGTCTTTTTGCTCTTGATCTATTTTTTTGCAGCATATTGCCATTCTCTTAAGTTTGAATTGATTTTCTCAATGTTTCCACATCATCTGGTGATCGATTATCTACGAAGGCCAATTTGGTCTCTATACTTCATTTTTTTTCTCAACTTGGTCTCTGTACTATGGATTTATATATAAATTGGTCACCGTACTTTATTTTTTCTCAATTTCATCTGTGTACTGGGGATTCATACTCAAATTGATCTCATAATTTTATTTTAACTTTCAGAGTTTTGCAATAAGCTCCTAATAACTTTTAACATCACAATAAATCTCTTAAGAACTTTCAAAATTACACTAAACCCCCAATAACTTTCAAAATCACATTAAATTCCCAATGACTTTAGCAGAAAACCCTCAAAGTTAACATCGTCACCTCTGTCGTGGCACATGCAACCCACATGACCTAAAAGGACCAAAATACCCCTTAGAATATTTTAAACACCCTTTATAATCTTTTTATATTTTCAATCGAAAAAATTTATTTTTTGTGATTCGCTTTGCCCGTGCTAGCTTGGGTTAGGGTCACAAATTCTAATTTTTTTTCTTTTACTGAAATTTCCTCCAAAATGTCATTTTTGTTGTTTTTTTTGTTCTAATTTATGGGGGTTCTCTGCAAAATGCAAAACATATTAGGGATTTTTTACAATTCTAAAATTTATCTAGGGCTTAATGAGATTTGGAAGTTACTAGGGGTTTAATGTGGTTTCATTGGGATGTAGGGTGCTTTTTGAAAGTTCTTGGAGACTTTAGTGTGATGTTAAAAGCTATTGGGAGTTTACCGCAAAACTCTGAAGGTTAAAATAAAGCAGGGGGACAATTTGTGTATGAAGCTCTAGTACAGGAATTAAGTTGAGAAAATATATAGCAGGGGGGCCAATTTGAGTACAAAGCCCCAATACAGGGTCCAAGTTGAGAAAAAAATAAAATACGGGAACTAATTTGGATACGAAACCCCAATATAGGGATCAAATTGCCCTTTTAGCCAACAAATTTAAAAGTTGTTGCACGCTCTTATCAGAACTTTCCACCATATTAACAGTTGTCCTAACCATTTACCTTCGAAACATATGACATTGTTTATTTATAAAAATATACAGTCCTTTTATGCACAATAAGTCAAGTTGGCAGAAAACCGATTCGAAACTGTGCGCATTATTTCTTGGTTAGCCCCAAATCCGCATCAATACCATTCAAATCCTCAACATACTTCCAATTTGATGCCGCCAAGGGTTTCCTTTTCCGTTGACTTAGTAGCAAGTGACTACTCATAAAACGGAACGGTTTATTCTTGTGGCCCTTGCATTACAATAGAGGTCAACTAAGATGCTTGCAACTTTATGCTAAAGAGCTCCAAGTGCTCCTAAATCTTTGAATTCATGCAATCGATATAACTAAATTATTTGTTAGATAATGGGTCCTTTGACATTTGTATAACATTATTTAGCAATTCGAAATGAAGTTTTCGGTGACACATTTGAGGTATATATACTATTAAGCATGCGCTACAAGTGTAATCTTGAAGGGTGGTGATAGATAGAACCTTCTGTGATTATGCATTAATTTAACAGATGAAAAGATATCGAAGAATATTAGAATTATATGTGATACTCCACTAATTACATGAAATTTTTGTCTGCCTAGGAAATATCTATATATACTCATGCTTAGATATTAACTCCGTAAAGCATAGGGATGAGAGAGAGTGTGTGTGCGCGTGTGTGTCTTGTGTTACTGAGGCGTTTGTTCTTCATCTCCCTCAAAGGCCTCCTGTTGGAGGATTGACGGAGATGAAAAGCATGCCCCTTATCCTGATGAAGCATCAAAAGACATCTCGAGTTCGTTTTTTTCAACAATTTTCCACAATTCAAGGTAATGGAGAGGATTATTTAACTTGCATTAGCATGAGATTTTTCATGTTTTGTTGTTATAAGATCTATTTTAATAGTGTAAGTTGCATAGGTTGAATTAGATCTTTAGGCGGTTACGTTGTTATCTTGTTATCATATCTACTATTCTGAACCCTTATATCATGCAAGGAATAGACAAATAAGCATAAAGAATGTCTTAAGGCAAACTTGAAGTTATAGAGCATGTTTAGCAACTTTGGATTATAATCCACTTGACTCATAATCCACAAATCGATTATAAGCCAAGTGGATTATGAGCCAAGAGTGCCTGGTAAATTCAGTGTATTATAACTCATTTGCAATTGTGGAGTCTTTGGCGAATGGGTGGCTTATATAAGCCATCATTGTTCGTCAAAATGACCAAAAGATATTTAATGGTCTAGAGAGATAAATGGGGCTTTAGATTTTCTAAAATTACGAGGGACATATTGGTCTTTTACACGGTCAAACCTTGTGGATTTTAAGCCGCCAACAAATAAGCTAGGGTACCTTAGCTTATTTTTTGGTTGCTTATATGTAGAGGTGCAAAAAATATCAACATCTAAGGATTTATATGTATCCGTATCCGTGAGATGCAGATATGGTTACTAATATCCGATAGGATACGATTACAGATAGAGATATGTAGTAAAATACCAGGATCCATATTCAAAGCATCCGAATATATGTTGGTCATGCAGGCACAATCGTTTTAACCTTAGACTATATGGATTTGAGATTGATTTTGATGATCATGAGATCTAATCTTAGCTTTTCAGATATAACAAACATATTAACTCAGTCTCTTGTATCATTTGAACTATATTCTTTCAGTGTTATTTGGTTTCTTGAACTCGTTTTGCAACCCCATGTATATATCCATCTATATTTGTATCCGTAATTAATAAGTGGATACGAATATGGTAGG